CCCTCGTGCAAACTCAAGACCATCCATTATGTATTTTATTGTAAATAGAAGAAAACAAAATTCTTGAGTCCTACTTCACAGATGAATTGGCATCAAAATTATTTATCGGTTTCAAGTGTTGCATAAATGAATTCGTAATTGATAATTTACAAATGTTTATTTTGTTCTTGTATCGAACTGCTGGTGGATTAAAGGAATTACACACATCAGAACACAAGCCGAGTAATTTCATTTATAAAGTAACAAAAGGTAGCTATTTTTTTATTTAGAGACTTGAATTTTCTACGAATTCTGCCGATTTAAATAGATTTGGGTAGTATATGCAATCGAAACAGCAGGACGACAGGGTATTATTATTAGTGATTGGGAATGACTATTGGGTATCTTTAATTCAGTTATTTCCATGTAATTAATTTCTCCTCTGTGGTGACAAAAGACAAAATGAAATGATTCGTAAAAGTATAAATACCTAGTCAAATAGAAAATCACTGCATCGTTTCTTTGGTACGTTTAAGAGTGCACCCATTGGTCGAGTGCACACAACGAAAAGGATGTCGGTTTTAACAGTCCGCCACTGGCAGACAAACAGACAAAATAAAATAATAATAATTGTGGCTAGGTCTTCTAATCAAAGAATATGATATGTGCAGCGCATCCGTTTGAAAGCAATCAAACTCGAAAACCCTTTATTCCAGCTAAAACAGGCAAAGTGACTTGGAACGTCGTAATAAAATAATAGTCCGTCAGTCTGTTAGTCAGTGAACATGAGAGAAGCTAGGTGCTCCTTTCAAAGTGTAGATTTGAATGGAGAAGAATGAAAGGATCAGCAAGAAACTTCAATGTTACCTACTCTTTAAAAAAATGTTTCTATATATTTCTTTTATAGGTAAAATATTGTATATACATTATTGTACTTACATGTGAGAACAATGCAGTGAGTTTGTGTAGAGAGTTTGAGATCAAGTTCAAGATCAAGAAAAAAGGAAGAACAAACGATAAAATTGATATTTGTAAAAAAACTTATTTGTAACTACAGTCAGTAGTTACTATCTAAAAACAATAGGTAAGTACAATAAATAAGATTGAGTAAGTAGGTACTGTCCAATGGAGCCGAACCAACATGCTGCCAGGATTCTTATCCTCAACATAATGTGACAGTTTGAATTATGCTCACTTACCCTGGACTACATAACTTGGTACTTATATTTTATTATTCCGCAGATAACGTTTGAATGGTTTTCCACTTTGGCCAGGCGTGGTATTAGGTACGTTTGTATTAAATATAATTATTTTAAGAATTATGCCTGTAGCTTAATACTTATGTTATCTTCAGAGATTTGCCATGGGCCAATTTAAACATAACTGATGATACTCGGATAGATAATTTTTGTACCTTCAAAAGAACTTGCAACCTAATATTTACAGCAAACCCCTGCGGAACGCCTATTGCCATCTCAGCGCCTTGGGCGTTATGATCTAATTTAAACAAAAGTTTCCAATGATTTTCGCAATCAAACACTTGTGAGAGGTTGCAAAGGACACCAACAGTATCTACCTAGGTATCTTGTGCTTTCTCCCAAGCACCTAATGTTTCCTTCATAAAAGTGGCACCGAGCTGCATCAGTTATTGTACAACAATCCTTAGTGAAACCGTGTTGTTGAAGGAAGATAGAATGTTTATTAAGATGACACGGGAAAATCATCAAATGACTTCTCCCGCCCTGGGTAAGGCGAGGGTGAGGGTCAGACTCTTACTGACTAAAAACCCCCCATTCTTTCTTCTGCTTTAGGCCGTTGCCGCGGTGCCCCATTGCGCTTGTACCGCAACCCAGGCTGAATGTCAGCCCTGTAGGGCCCCGACTGTGGTGGTCTACTGGTTCTTTGAGGCGCGCGGAATGCTATGCGCCGTACGTTCCGGTCTGGTTCTGGTCGGGCGGCGAGCTACCCTTACTCGCCTTCCGCAGACTTGCGCTCACGGTGGCCGGAGATTATCTGTCAATCCCAATTCAATAATGATGAATGTCAATGTCAAAGCACGGAATGTCGCCTACTGCGGCGGCTGGGGCGTGAGGAGGATAACTCTCTCACGCGCTCCGCCTCCTCCTTTGCGAGCATCACTATTTTGCAGGAAAAGGAGACGGCTTCCCAATTCCTTTCGCTACGAACCATGGCCTCAACTAATGCCGGAAGCGCGATGTCGCCGCCGCCGATCATTTCCCCGAAGACACGGCGGTGCTCAGCCCAAGCAGGGCACACTGCCACCGTAAGTATGCTCCGCCGTATCTTTAGCCGGATTCGAAACGCTCGGCGGAAGGTGAGGACGCCGTGGCGTCTCTCACGCCACTTCTCAAAGAGGGGTCTTAGCGCTACAATAACAGCGTGCTCGGCCCTCGATTGCGACAGTCGTTGCTTCCACTCTGCCATGAGATCTGGCCGGAGCTCATTCTGCCACACACTAATTTGGCGCGGCAAAGGATATCTACTCGCCCCGGCGACGCGCGTCTGGGCGCAAACTGTAGACGCGCGCAAGCGCCTTCGCTTCCAGATCCCACGGCGGTGATCCGGCAAGGAGGTTCGCCGCCTCCCCGAAAATCGTGCGATATCCGCGGAATGATCCTATAGCCTCGAGGGGGTCCATTGGCCATTCGCAATACCAGGGGAGTTACTACAAGTGCGATGCCGGCCTCTGATGGGTTGTTTGGGATTTAAGGAATTTGAGAATTCAGGATGGTGGAGGAAGAAAATGATCTCCAGTAACCTTTAAGGTTACTGGAGATCATTTTCCTCACCGTGGGAGTACCTTCCTAATAGGAAGGTACTCCCACGGTGAAATATAACGTAAGTATCACTCTGATCGAGCCGGAGTCATCCGTGCCAACCAAAGTATGACTTTTTCACACGTAGTGAATGTTAACTCAGTGCATTGTTGTAGAGCGTAGAGAAATTTTACCCGGGTTTTTTCCTCTTTGTTGTAGAGGCAAATAATAGCTTACGCAAGAACAAGAGCAGTGTCAAGCAAGCTGCAAGCAAGGTAGGTAAGTAGCGAAGGCAAGCTGTTTATAATTTTTTTTTCTGAGTAGGGACCATTTCCTAAAACGTTTTCGATACCAGTTACGTCTGAGAAAAAGTTATTTCAGTCGTATCAAGGATCACATATTTTTTAAATAAAATGATCGCAAGTTATGAATAGTTCTGTGCTACTGGTATTGTTTTCTAATAAGTAAGTAAATGAATATTATTTATGGCTTGAACAAACCTTCCTTCATAATAGGTAAGTACTTATTATTCGTTACAGATCAATTAAACAATGCAAGATTCAGATAATTACTTAGTAGGTGTATGCACACAAACTACAACTTGTATCCAGGCACGCTGTAATAGCAGTGGTAAGACCTCTCTTTGAGGAGGGGCTTGAGAGACGTTATGGCGTCCTCACCTTCCACCTGAAAAGCTGGTGCTTACCGGACACGGCACGGACGGTTTGATGGTTTTCCCCTCATAAAAGTGCAATCCAGGACAACACAAGGTAAAAAACTGGAAAGAAACCGCGTGTATCACATGGGCCGAGCCCATATCAAAACACTGGGCACTATTTTAATATTAATTAACAAATCCTATTAAGCGTTGTAGGTACCTGTCGTGTAATTTAGAGCTAATTAATCACTATGGGTCAAGGATGGGCTCATTGATTAGTATTTACGCTCCCGTTAGTAACGTCAGCGTGTCTGCGCTGTTGGGTACCGCAACTTAAATGTTATAGTAACGCATAATAATAATTCACATTTCCGTAGGGTGAGCAATGCAACGATATAAATATTGTTTTCATGGCAGTGTAATACACCCAATTCGTACTAGTGAACGCTCAGTTAGTAATTAGAATGACTCATAACTTAGTTTCAAAAATAGCTGCTTTACACAATTCCATAATTTTTTGATTCGAGTAAATAAATTATAAATGAGTCATATTTCCAAAGCGGATACCTATTTCCCGAATTAAAAATGACGATTAATAAATATATTTCTTATCATACTACATACTCAATTAATTTTCCTAGCAGCCTAATCGAGCATATCACTTGCATGATTCATCCATTTGTAACGCATGGATCAGTGACAAATTGCCTGAGCATGGTAAACAATGCACAATGGTTTTGAAACTAGTAGTTTTGACATCATTCTTCCGCGGCCTTGAATGCAAGAATTGTAAGGCTACGTCGCAATTCTTGAAACGAACTGTATTGAAATTATAAATACATTAACAATTTGGATCATAATTAAGTAATTCTCATTAAATAAATGTGACCCACATGCTTCTATACCGTAAACATTTTTATCATCACAAAGAACGTGCAAACATCTGTAAAATCAAATAAGGAGAAAAATAAAAAATAAATATTTCGTTCGTATTTTTATATAATTAATATGAAAAATTGTTAAAAAAACTGTCTTTGATTAAGATTATAAAAAATGATGAATAATTTGTCATGACAAATTTTATTACAACCAAAAGTACTGCATTTTAGTCTAGAATGATCTATTATGCAATTACAGTGTAAAGAATGAATGTAAATAAATAATACTATATTTCATGGCAGTCTAGTCGAAGTAATGGCATTTTGATTTGCATCGATCAAGACAAGTAATGGCAGAAAAGATCATTCCTATGAATGTATTAGGTACTTTCATTTATAATAATTAAAATATAAAATTAATTTACAAAAAATCATTGTTACAAATCTCAAAAGAATAATTGACAAGCAAATTGTAAATAAAAAAATTAATACTTTAAAATAATACAAGCCTTAATGAAGGATAAAAATGTTATATAGATATCTCATTATGGAACTTTATAAAATTTGATTAATTGTATTATATAACTCTAATTACGATAATAGGCCACATTGCATTAGAAAACATAACTATACATCGCCACATAACATGGTTCTCAACAAGTACTTCTTTGCATTATATACAATGACTATATCAAAGAAGTGATGATGATGCATTATAAATAACAGAACTTAATGAATAGTGCTTGCTTAGTGCTAATAGGGATTCATTTGAGCTGAAAAGCAAGTAAGTGTTCAGTCCATTATTCAGCTGCAGCAATCTGCTCGCTCTGGATGAGAGCCTCTGATGGGTTATCTTTTTTTGCTTCTACTGTTTCTGTTTGTTCAGTGGCTTCCTTTTCCTCAGACTGTTCGCGCGAACTAGCTGTTCCATTCACTTCTTCCTTTGCTGGAGAATTTTCTTTTGAAGCTTCTTTGGCTTCCACCACTGTTTCTTTTTCAGGAGACTGTGCTTTTGCCTCTGGTGTGCTTTCTTTTTCAACCGATTTTTGTCTTTCTGTTTCCTTTTCTGGAGACTTTTCTTTTGAATCCCCCTGGGCCCCCTCATCTTCTTCTTTGTCAGGAGTACCTTCCTTTGATGCTGCATCAGCTTCCTCTCTTGTAGGAGAAGCCTCTTTAGCAGGACTTCCTTCTTTCTCTGGAGATTTTTCTTTTTCCTCAGTATTCTCAGTTGTGTTAACTTTCTCTTCCGCACTTACTTCAGACTCTTTACTTTCGGTCTCAACATCCCCATTTACAGTTTTTTCCTATAACAATGAATGCAATTTCAATTTCATATAAGTCCATTTAAAACAAACTAAAAAATATAAATACACAAAGATTCTTTAAAGAAAAATAAAACATTAAAATACCTGTTCACTTTCAACTTGTGGTGGATCTTCAGGAGGGACTTCCATCTTCAAGAATTGTTCCAAAGTGTCTACTTCATTTGCAAGGTCAAATTGGTCATAATCCTGAAAGTAACAAAGAATGTAAGATTGTTTGATTAATGTTTCTGTACCTGGAATAAAGTGCTTTATACTGAAGCAGAAAAACAGGTATGATCAGGCAAACAATTTATAAACAAAGGTATAAACAGTAAACAAACATGTAACAAAGGAACAAAATACCAACAGATGGCAACATACCAAAAATACCAAAGCATTTTATTATGCATCTATGGCTTATCCAGAATTATAAAATCATACGATTGACATGAGCTTATGGAACTCACCCCACAGTACTCCTCATCGTTGAAGATCTGCGGCGGGAGCGGAGACCGCGGGTTAGGGTCGCTCACTGTGCCACCGTTCGACTTCGAGTTGTTTTGCATAAACTCTTTATCGGATTCTTTCCCTGGTTCCGTTATGTCAATGACATCATATTTTATGTTTTTCGAATCTAGTATCATCAATACACGTTGTTGACGCTTCTTCACCTAAAAAGTAGCATAACTCACGTAATCAAAAACAATAATTACATGAATCAGCTTAGAAAAAGTCGAGAAAAGCACCCGGCCGTCCCAGGAATTTTCTAATATTAAACGTACCTCTTTATTTCCAGAAATACCACTGATATATACTTTGACAACCATTGTGAAAAACTTTCGAATTAAACTTAAACAAAGGTAAATAACAATTGCTTTATAATATTACACGAGAAAAATAGGCTTGGCCATTAGACAATCTGTTTTAGTAATAATAATTATTCAGTATGGATGACAGCTACTAATGTTGCCAACATGTCAAGCATAAATATCTACTATTTTTTCTTTGTATTGGGCTGTTTGTTCTAATAACATCTTGCATGGTAGTAAACGATTTAGCCGGGGTTGCGGGGTAAGCGCAATGAGGCACCGCGACCTCGGCCCAGAGCAGGAGAAGGAACAGGGTTTTTTTTAGTCAATTAGAGTCTGACAATCCCTCCCGTCCGGCCCTGGGCGGTAGAAGTCATTTCATAAAAGAAAAATGGTAGTAAACGATCACACATAACTCTGAGTAATCTATTTACATATGCTTTAGAGACATAGTTGTTGTCTTCCGGGGAAACAAACTTATTAGTTGATGAAAACCATAAGGCTTTCTACTTCATAAATCAGGCTTCTACTTGTCCGTTACATAATAAATAATATGTGATTTAGTGTACCTAGCTTAATTTATGTTATATTATATCTTTATAAACGCATTTGAGAGATGAATGGGGTAGAATCGATTACAAATTCGTAAAAGTTTAGTTAAATGTTATTTTTTTTAAATCCGCTTCGAATGTACTGCCGTTAACGCCCCAGCCGCCGTGATAGGCAACAGCGCGTCGGGGGTAGAGCGAAGATCTTCGGTCACCGTAGGCGACCGAAGGCGGGTCTGGAGCGTATTGCGCCTGACAATAAACTACCACAGATAAGAATCAGATACAGATCGATAGAAAAGAAAATTTTCTCAAGTATTTGTCGACATATCGAAGCAGTATTTTACTCGGCTTTATAATGTTCAAGTTTGGCTCCATATGGAAAAATGTTGTCATCTTTCGGTCGGTGCACCTCAGTAACAGCTTCTCCTCCTGGAATGCGACGATGCGGATCCAGCGATGCGACGTTTACATATATATGCTGAACTCTTTGACTTTGCTTAGAGATATAAACATGGGAAGTGTTCGATCCACGCGACTTCTTGTAAAAACATTACATAAATAGTTAGCAGTGCAATTTTGGTGATACTCTCTGCCTTGCACAACAAAACTTTGGAATCATCTTTTAGTGGCATTAGTTTCAAAACACAAGCGTACTCCTTCTTGGAAGGCCGGGCGGGTGTCTCTGGGCGGCACTGATCACTTACCATCAGGGGATTGTTTCCTATCCTGCAATAAATATATATTTTATTTTTAAACGATACCATTACCTCTTCGTTTTAAAACTTCTACCAAATGGGACAAACAAATAAATTTGGCAACATTGGATTACGTTTCATTTTACGGTGCATCATCAAGAAACATCATTTGAAATGCGCCAAGTTTAAAAAAGTATTTAGTATTATGTATCATAATTACTACAAACTTTTGGTGCCAAGGCAGTTAGTTGAGCATAAGGTTTTTTATGATAATTTAATTTAATTATATTTAATGTTATTGTGTTTCAAAGGACCTAAAAAAAAAATTTATACGATTCATAAAAGGCAAGGAAATAATACAAAAATAAACAACTACTACTTTTAAATAAAATTTTAATACGTTTGTTTATAATACATAGGCATATTGTCTTCGTATATAAAATAAAATACATATATATAATCGCAGCAAAACATCAGAATGCGACACATGGGTAGGCGTGGAATGTTTGCAGGTACATAAAACCTGATTCCATTTATAAATAACAATAAATAAAGTATATCAATCTTATAGCTCCTTGAATGTCATAAAAGTAAGGTTTCTAGCAATTTTCCTTCGGAACAGTATAAAGAACGAATTTTTTATTAAATCGTAAGTATGTTATTTGTACAGAGATTACCATAACAAGTTGCGCGGCAGTTCACACAACAGGGAGTGAAATTCTGCCATATTATAACTGTCTACCTATCAATATTATAAGATCACGTGCATGTCATTGACTTGACTGCGGTCTAGCGAGACACTATTCAATCTATGAGCCATTACATAATTCTATTGTAAAAACATTACGAGACGTTGACACGGCGCCGTACGTGTGCATGCGTGACAATCTACACAACAAATACTAACCGACTCATTTAACCAATTAGTATAGTGAAATAATTAGTCGCGTAATCTATCATTAATCTTTAAAAATTGACAAAAGTTCAATGGCCACACCAGTAAATAATTACTGTTAAGCACATATTTGTTTTAAAATATTCTAATTTTAATTGTTTATCTATCTGTGTGTGGGCACACACACAGTCGCGTGTTTATTGTGCGGAAATATTATTGGCATGAGTCCAGATCACTAGACAGTTGTCAGTTAGTCTTTACGCTCAGCGAGCCGTGCTGATATGTATTATAATTATACTCACCATAGACCGTTCCACGTATTAAATGTCGTAGCCGATTTTATATCCACGTAAAACAGCAGATACAAAGACATTACTTGTTGCTTGAATAAAACGCGATAACTTTAACGTATTATTCTTTCATATTCCTCGCCTGTCAATTAACATACACACTAAAAAGCTAAATAGGAATGTACCAAACGGATACTGATGATTATTCAGTCGTCGCATTGATTCGAATTTAATTAATTTGCTCTAATCTTTATACATATTCCTTTATTTTAAATATATCAAAATATTAATATATAAATTAAATCTAAAACTATATGTACACAAAATGATACAAAAATAAACAAAACAACGAAAATAAATTGTAATAAATCAGGCTTGCGAGCCTTACATGAGATTATTAAAATTATCTAAATACTTATTGTATAAACTTTCCTTCCAAATAGTACATAGAGACTGTTATTTCCCCGAAGATGGATGTTTTAGGTAGATTTTTATTGGGTAGTATATATATAAAAGGAGGTACATGCACCTATTAAATGTTTTGCATAGCATCAGCTAACGCATTCCGCTTGTGGTCGTAAATCTTGTTGAACCTCATTTCAGTTTAGTTAGACATAGACTATATCGTTGGCAACATGACAGTGGTAAATGTCCGATTAGTTCTTGTTTAGCGTTTGTCAACGTGTGCGAGGATTAGGATCACACATTAACGAGCTGTTAATCACATCATCCATCAAAATTTGTTGGCAATAACAGTTTTGTGCATTTTAACATCAAATTACAATTTTTAACATATTTGCTAATTAATAAATATTAGATAAATAAATGAGGGACTAATTTGCAATTTGACTTCGATTAGCAACCTAAAATGGTAGAAGTTGATCTTTCCAACTCATAATAATAGCAATGTTAAAATTAATGGTAATGTTCGCGATAAGAGATCCAGACAATAGGTTAGTGAACTAATCACATGATCACTACCTTCATCGACACATAAAAGCCGAGCGCATCCTATGCGTAAACTACTCCCTCTGTCGTAATGTACGCGAAACATAAAATAAGCACTCAAAATTAGCCATCACTTCGGCGTCAAAGAATGAATACTGTTATATCTAAATTCGATAGGCCATTACTCGCACGCAGAATGAGATCGAATAATACTAAGTACGTCGATCGAGGGCCCTGCCGTGAACTAGCTGACTGGGAGGGGCTGCGTGCGGGCTGCGTGCGCGGTGCGGGCGGGCTGCGTGGTGCTCAGACGGGGGTGCCGAAGTCGGGGTCGCCGTCGCCCGCCAGCAGTCGCGGCGGGAACTTGGCCCGCTCCACCTCACCGTTCGTTAGCGGCGCGCCTTCCGTCACCCTCCGTGCGGACCCTATCCTGTATGACAACAAAGCAACTTTACAAAACATTCAAAAGACATCGTTTTAATTAATTTTCAGCACTCCAATACCGAGAGCCGTTTGGACAGAGACGAAGACCCGTCTGATCAACGCAAAAATTTCTATCTCTCAACTAATCGTTTTATAAACTTTCAACAACCTATATATACGCTGTCAATTTCATGATCACTACTACTTAATGAAATCAAATACCTATAAACTTGTTTCAAGTAAGTAGAGATTTTCAACCAATTCATTTCCCTCTTTAATTTAGATATTTTCAATTTCTTATAGTTTCCCTTAGGGGTGACCTCTTCCTCTTGAAAGTTCTTATCTACATTATTGGCTTATTGTAAACAATATCATATACCTAATTACCTATATAACTTTTATAAGCCTGTTGCCATGTATAACGTACTGATACCAATGCAACTACGTGTTGAGTTGGCAATGTCTTATTACAATAATCTATCATAATAATTCATACATATAATTTATTTTTCTCCCACGGTACATAAATCGGTTTGACGCTAGCGTACTACCTCCCATTAATCATGAAACGGTCACATTTATGCGACACGAAGCAGGAGAGCTCTGCGGTCACCAACCCGCATGCGCATAACAACACACAAGCAAACTGTAAAATATTAAAACATAATGGCTCGTCATCTATGGATAACGTTTTCTTTTTAATATCTACAATAAAGGAATCTACCGATATAAATTTTGATCAGTTGATATTTAACTGGAAAAAAATTAAATAATTACAATTTATCCTATTACTTTAAAGTACAATGGCACTTTTCGTTCCGATTTGGCTAATTTAACTCACAGGCATATTGTGACAGAAAACTCTTTGACATCATGACGTCAATGGATGGTTGTCAAACGTTGCCTAGAGATTGTAAATTTCGTCGTGAATTGTCAACACGAGTTGGTGTAATCGGTAAGGCGTGTGGATTACACCACAGAGACCCCGAGTTCGAGTCCCGCCGTAAACATGAAGTTTTTTAGTTGATGGAAGTTTTGTCGAACTTTCTGGAATATTTGAGTGAAAGTGATGAAAAATTAAGGAGCGAGAAGGAGAATAAATAAAAATGAATAACGAAATTATTGGAAGGTTCTGGAGGCATGACGATCAAAAAGAATAACGAAATTGAATGTTCTAGAACCTGACCGGGGGTATATAAGCGGAACTGCGGCTCACCGCTGGCAGTTGAGTTCTAAGTCTAAAGCGATTCGGAAGAAAAGGAAGAAGTGAGAAAGAAGAAAAGTGAGTGAAATAGTGAAGTGCAGTGAAATAGTGAAGTACAGTCAGTTAAGTGAGTTAAGTCAGCGTGAACGGCAAAGTTGTGTCAGTCGGCCGGACTCTGCTGGAGAGGAACGCCGATAACTTAACTCCGTGGACGCTGTAACTTAAGTGCAATAGAAAGTCTGAAAACCGGTATTAGTGTTTCATTTCATCCAATCCCGTAACCCAAGCCCGCATAGTCAGGAACGTGACGGCAGGCACGTAACATTTGGTGTCAGAAGTGGGATTGGAGAAAAATGCCGCTAGTGCCGCAGGACGTAAGAGGAGTGAGTACCCGTTCAATGTCAGAAGCGCAGCGTGTGAGGGAAGAGGGTGCTGCAGCTCAAACCAGCGATGCAGAAGCCAAGCCTGTGCAGGTGGATCTTCTGCTACAGCTGCAGCACATGATGGCAGAGCAAGCGCGCCGCCAAGAAGAGCAAGCGCGCCGCCAAGAAGATCAAGCGCGCCGCCAAGAAGAGCAAGCGCGCTGTCAGGCAGAACAGCTGCGGGAGCTGAAAGAAGAGCAAGCGCGCCGCCAAGAAGAGCAAGCGCGCCGCCAAGAAGAGCAAGCACGCTGTCAGGCAGAACAGCTTCGGGAGCAAGCACGCTGTCAGGCAGAACAGCTTCGGGAGCAAGCACGCTGTCAGGCGGAACAGCTACGGGAGCTGAAAGAAGATCAAGCTCGCCGCCAAGAGGAGCAAGCGCGTCGCTTGGAAGAGATGCATAAGGATTTCACGAAGGGACTGCAAAAGGCTGTCGAACGGGTACAAGAAATGGAGGAAGGGTTAGGCAAGTTGAAACTTCGCGTCATGGCGATAGAGGAGAGACTGGAAGAAGAGATCTCCAAAATCAAGCAGGAAGTGACAAACCCAAGCCCTTTGAAGAGCCGAAGCCGTCTTGCAGCCGTTTTTGACGCCCCAAATGCGGCCTTAAGCGCAACGAAAGGGCTCAAGATTCCCCATTACGACGGAACAACATCCTGGACTGCGTTCAAGCTACAGTTTGAGACACTTATGGAGGCTTATGGTTGGACTCAGAAGGAAGCACAGTCAGCCCTTACCCTGGCCCTCCGTGATCAAGCGCTCTCAGTGCTGGAAGCTATCGGCGCAAGTGGGGATCTCAGCTTTAGTGCCCTCCTCGACGCACTTGAAGCACGTTTTGGAGACAGCCACCTCGAGCACGTGTATAGAGCGCAATTAAAAGAGCGTACTCAGCGTGCTAATGAGAGCCTACAGCAATGGTCCGTGGAAATCGAGAAACTTGTACGTCGAGCTTTCCGGTCGACTCCGTCAATGATTGAAGGCACGCTTCTCCAAGCGTTCATTGACGGTATTCGGGACCCAGAAGTACGAGCTGCTGTTCATCTGGGCCATCACAAGATCATGAAAGAAGCTCTGGCCCATGCATTGGAAGTGGAAGCCGTGCGTAGCAACTCCCGTACCTTACGTCTGCGGGAAATGACGACAACGGAGCAGGTACCTCCACGCCGTCGGAACTTCATGTGCTATGGATGTGGAGAGCGTGGGCACATACGGAGCGACTGCCCGAAGAAGATGAACCGCAAGGACGCGGCGGTCTCAACTTCTGACCAGCAGGGAAACTTAAACCCAGCCAGGGCTGCGGGGTGGGCGCCGGCTGGTAGTGGAACAACCCCAACAATCTACATCAAGCAAACCAACGATGGAAATACTCTGGTGATAGACGGTCAAGTAAATGGGAAAAACAGTCAGCTAACATTAGATACTGGAGCTTCAAGGACGGTGATAAATGTTCGGCTGCTCGAGCACAACATCAGGAAACACCTTAAACCAATTGTTGGCCTACAAATGAAATCAGCTACCGGCCAGTGCATACCGATAAGTGGAAAACTGCATGTAACAATCAAAATTGGGGAACGTGTTTATCGACATGAGGTTATTGTGGCCAAAATTCTGGATGACTGCATCCTGGGACTTGACTTCCTGCAAGGGCACCAGTGTAACATCGACTTAAAATCTGGAGTATTACTATGTGGAACTGAGGAAATTCCGATGAAGGGTGGAACCCTGGGAAAAGTTTGCTGTTTAAGAAGAACTGTTCTTGCACCAAAATCACAGACTCTCGTACCAATTGCATTACCTAGGAGGAGGGAAGGAAGTTTACCTCGAAGGTGCGCTGTGATTGATAAATCGGAACACGTAAACTCATGGCTACCGGCAAGAACTGTCGTGGGGTCATCTGATGTTAACCGCATTCCGGTATTCAACTTCAGTGATTCAGAAATTACGATTGAAGAAGGAGAGCCTGTGGGCGTATTGGAAGAAGTGGCCTGGATAAGAAAATGCTCGGAAAATGTTGTGAAGAAGGACAGTACGGGAATAGACTTTGTAACGAAAATCTTAGACGAAAACAAAAGTCTGACAAAAGTGGAGACTATGAAAGCTAGAAATTTACTTCTTCGATTCTCTGATGTGTTTTCAAGAAGCGATGGTGATATTGGCCGAACTGGTTTGGTGAAGCATAAAATAAACACAGGTGATACAATGCCAATTCGTCAAAGGCCCAGACGTATACCATTCGCTCGTGAGAAAGAGGTTGAAGAAATGATTGACGATATGAGGAAAAATGACGTGATAGAGCCCTCTTCTAGCCCTTGGTGTTCACCTGTCGTGCTTGTCAAGAAGAAAGATGGTTCAACGAGGTTTTGTGTAGACTATCGACGATTGAATGATGTAACCAAGAAGGATAGCTACCCGTTACCAAGAATCGATGACACACTTGACACACTGAGTGGCATGAAATGGTTTTCAACGCTCGATCTGAAAAGCGGCTATTGGCAGGTGGATTTGGATCCCAAGGACAAGGAAAAGACCGCATTCTCAACTGGGAAGGGACTCTGGCAATTTAAGGTGATGCCATTTGGATTATGCAATGCACCGGCAACCTTTGAGCGTTTGATGGAACAGGTGCTGGTGGGACTGCTGGGCGAAACCTGCCTAGTCTGTCGCTGTTAAGGAATGGCCAACACCTAAAGACAAAACGCAAGTTCGGGCATTTCTTGGATTGTGCTCGTATTATCGGCGGTTTGTGAAAGGATTCTCGGACATTGCCAAGCCTTTGCATCGATTGACAGAGGAGAAACGTGCCTTTATCTGGGACGAGGATTGTGAGCAAGTATTTCGAGACCTAAAAGAACGGCTTTGTAACACACCAATTCTCGGATACCCCAGCGCGAAAGGAATATTCGTAGTTGATACGGATGCCAGCAATATTGGAATAGGAGGTGTCCTTTCACAACGCGATGGTGAGCAGGAGAAGGTTATTGCTTACTTCAGCAAGTCACTATCGAAGCCGGAGAGGAATTATTGCGTGACCAGGAGGGAATTACTGGCCGTAGTCAAAACCCTGCACCATTTCAAGAAGTATTTACTGGGACGGAAATTTTTGATCAGAACTGATCACGCTGCTTTGAAATGGCTGCTTCAGTTTAAGGATCCCGAAGGCCAAGTGGCCAAGTAGTATGGTTGGAACAACTTCAGGAATTTGACTTTGAAATCGAACATCGCGGCGGAAGAATTCATGGCAACGCAGATGCATTATCGAGACGCCCATGCGTGGAGGATTGCAAGCATTGTGCCAAGAAGGAAATTGCTTTTCTTAAGGTGATAAGGACTGATACTGTTGACGAGGCATGGGGAGATGATGCAATGAAATTAGAACAGGAAAGAGATGCAGATATCAAACCAATACTGGAGTGGCTACGAAGTGGTAACAAGCCAAGTTGGAGTGACGTCGCCCAATATAGCGCAGTAACGAAAGGTTTATGGGCACAGTGGAAAAGCCTTACGCTGCATAATGGACTTCTGTGCAGAAAATGGGAATCAACAAACGGCAAGGACGAGCATTTGCAATTGGTGGTACCTCGTTCAAAAATAAGGGATGTATTAAAAGCGTTCCATGATGGATCTTCTGGAGGACATTTGGGGATTAGGAGGACTTTGGTGAAGATCAAGGAGAGGTTTTATTGGTTGCATTGCAAATATGACGTCGAAGATTGGTGCCGGAAATGCACTAGTTGTGCAGCTGTCAAGGGTCCACAAACAAGGAGCAGGGGGGCGATGAAAATCTACAATGTTGGTATGCCTTGGGAGAGAATAGCCTTAGACATCGCTGGACCATTTCCAATCACTGATTCGGGCAATCGCTACGTTTTAGTGGTTATGGATTATTTTACAAAATGGCCGGAGGTCTTTGCTATACCGAATCAAGAGGCAGTAACTGTAGCGACGAAGTTGGTAAACGAGGTATTCACCCGATTCGGAGTGCCCTTGGAGATGCACAGTGATCAAGGACGGAACTTTGAATCCCAAGTTTTCCAGGAAACTTGTAAACTTTTGGGAATCCATAAGACTCGAACGACCCCTTATCATCCACAGTCAGATGGAATGGTCGAACGCTTCAACCAAACATTGGAGCGACACTTAGCAAAGGTGGTTGACAGCCATCAGAGAGATTGGGACACTTACATACCTCTCTTCTTGCTTGCCTATCGGACTGCTGTACATGAAAGTACCGCAAAGACGCCTGCATTTGCAAATTTTGGAAGGGAATTGAGATTACCGGCAGATCTTGTATCGGGCTGTCCACCTGGTGATTCTCGCACCGAGTTTAGCGATTACATAAGCGAGTTAAGGGCAAAAATGTTGGACATTTATGAGCAGATCAGGGAGGCCGGTCTTCAAGCTAGTGATCGCGCAAAGACGCGCTATGATCGACGAGCCAATTCTGTTGGGTTTGAAGAGGGGTCATTGGTCTGGCTTCATAATCCAGTCAGAAGGAAGGGAAAATCTCCAAAGCTGCAACCGAGTTGGGAAGGTCCTTACGAGATAGTCACGAAGATCAATGACATTACTTACAGAATTCGGAAGTCTTCAAGGAGCCCTTTGAAAGTTGTCCATATAGACAGGTTGGCGAGGTATTACGGCAGCAACGATGCTCGGGACGAGCGAATCTAAGAGGGGGGCAGTGTGACAGAAAACTCTTTGACATCATGACGTCAATGGATGGTTGTCAAACGTTGCCTAGAGATTGTAAATTTCGTCGTGAATTGTCAACACGAGTTGGTGTAATCGGTAAGGCGTGTGGATTACACCACAGAGACCCCGAGTTCGAGTCCCGCCGTAAACATGAAGTTTTTTAGTTGATGGAAGTTTTGTCGAACTTTCTGGAATATTTGAGTGAAAGTGATGAAAAATTAAGGAGCGAGAAGGAGAATAAATAAAAATGAATAACGAAATTATTGGAAGGTTCTGGAGGCATGACGATCAAAAAGAATAACGAAATTGAATGTTCTAGAACCTGACCGGGGGTATATAAGCGGAACTGCGGCTCACCGCTGGCAGTTGAGTTCTAAGTCTAAAGCGATTCGGAAGAAAAGGAAGAAGTGAGAAAGAAGAAAAGTGAGTGAAATAGTGAAGTGCAGTGAAATAGTGAAGTACAGTCAGTTAAGTGAGTTAAGTCAGCGTGAACGGCAAAGTTGTGTCAGTCGGCCGGACTCTGCTGGAGAGGAACGCCGATAACTTAACTCCGTGGACGCTGTAACTTAAGTGCAATAGAAAGTCTGAAAACCGGTATTAGTGTTTCATTTCATCCAATCCCGTAACCCAAGCCCGCATAGTCAGGAACGTGACGGCAGGCACGTAACAATATTTTTGAGAACGCTTATTGAATTAATAGTTGGTCAATACGTAAGTACGTACGTATTCATATATAGATTTATAAATGCAAACAATAAACACGCATGTTACCTAAATCCTTTAGATTCTCTTCTCAGGGGTTTGACGTCACCGTTCGGTTTGCTCGGCTTAGTGTCTTTGGGTTCTATGTCGATGAGCGGCTGCACTATCTGCGGCGGCGGAGCTGGTGCTATGGGAGACTCGGGTACTGGACAAACGTACGTTTCATGTTTTAATGTTACTGTTTGTTACATTAAATGATATCGGCTTTATTGCAAAACAAGGTTTTTATTTAGTTGTTGACGATTTGTGAGTTTTCTAATAACTAGCACCAATTTTAACTAAATGTTATAAAGCTAACATTTTTATTAAAAGAAATATTTTCAGTACTTCCAGCTCAATGTGATAGCTTTAAAGAAGTTATGAACATACCTCCATCGGATACTGGCAGGTTATCGCAGGGTGCTTCCGTTAGCGGTTCGTCGGAGGAGGGCGCCTCTAGCTCCACGGGTCTATACGCACCCTTAGTACGCCAATCCTATAACAACGTGGAACATTCAGTGTGTGCGATCGTTGGCTACAATTTCAACGATAAATGTGGTTATCAAAATAATTTACAGCTTTGGCTAATTTCAATGAGACCTATTTATTTAAACTAATGATTGTATATGCAATACAGCGCAATATCTAAACAGTATCACTGGCTACGCTCCAGCCGACTCTACTGTCATACTCTAGCCAAGGTCTCCCGGCTACCGGACACAATCAACATGACTAAGTACTTCACTTGATACATACCCACACGTGGGAGGTTTCTATACCGCGCTCTGTCTAGAAGAAACGAAATGTAAACAGAATCATAATATTCCTTGATAGCTTTTAAATTAACGGTCATTGGATTAACTACGACACAATTTCCCTATTCAGACATGGACACAGTTGAGCGTAGCTGTTATAGGCGCCTGCTTATTATTTGCTGTAACTCCGGGAAAATTGTAAAACATTTGCCCATGCATATTATACATTGTGAACGTACTTCTTTAGTCATAAAGGTTGAACGAAATTGCATAACATTTGATACGTGTAGGTATTTTACTATAAATTCAAATACGATCTAGTTTACGGAATCACAAAATTGTTTCATAAAAGAAAATGTGATGATAGAGGGTCGTGTACCTGCGGCTTGCGTTTCTTCTTGAGCGCGTTGGGGCGGGCGTGCACGGGCGTGGACGCGGCGGATTCCGCGGAGGACAGGTCTCGAGGAGCGCGCCCCCCGCGCCCCACCCGCGCCCCCACCGCGCCCCCGCCACCCCCAGCTCCCGACCACTGCCAACACACGCCGCTCTTACCAGATACTGCCTACCATCGCAAATACTGCGCTCAGTGACGAATGGGGATGATGACCATTTTTCAGTGTCCATATTATCATGATAGACTTGTTAAAGTTACTATAAATATTGTACAGGATCTTTAAAAGTAGTTTTTATAATTTGGAATGTCCCATAAGACGTTACATTAAGGTTTTACACTAAGTACAATCATTACAAAAAACTATGGTATTTGACACAACAAAAAAAAAAAACGTCATCATCTCTATTCACCACGCAGCAAGAGTAGCAATTGGAACTGTTTGTTACGTTTCCACGCACAAATAGAAACCTGGATAATAATTACATTTAATGTGATAATATGACTTTAAGTCCGGGTCACTTTGACCCTGTAGGTTGACTTAGATCTACTTTCTTGGTTTGGAAATTAGAATCATAGTTATCCTGCAGGGTCAAAGTGACCCGAACTTACTGAATTTGAACGCTGTAGTAAATACGTATGTACATTCAGTCAACAAAGTATCGGGAATGAATGTTTTTTTTTTATGGTTCCAAATTCGAATTTTTTTTTTTTTGTTGTTGTTAGATTGGCATAACTGTTTTCTATTTTGGAGCGGAATTTGGGTTGCATCTGTTATTTATATTAAAAACAGTGCTGTTTTTAGTTTTATACTAATTATCTAGTGTGTATTGCGAATTTCATAATGGACAAAAACATCGAACAAAGAGTTTGTCTTAAATTTTGCATCGCCAATGAAATTTCGTGTTCGGAGGCACTCAAAATGTTACAGAAGGCTTACGGTGAATCGACTTTATCAAAAACACGTACTTATGAGTGGTACAAAGCGTTCAAAAGCGGTCGAGATGTGATGGAAGATTTGCCTCGTTCTGGTAGGCCATCAACGTCTGCAACTGAAGTTAACATCGCAAAACTGAAAGAAATAGTGACTGAAAATCCTCATTCAAGTTTGAGAGAGATGGCCGCCGAACTTTCTGTATCTCACGAGTCGATCCGTACCATTTTAACGAATAATTTGGGTATGAAACGTGTTGCCGCTCGGCTAGTCCCAAAAAGACCTAAATTTTCTTCAAAAACTAAATGGCATGAAAGTCGCTGAGGACATGCTAGAACGAGTCAATACCGACCCAACATTCATGAAACGCATTGTTACTGGTGACGAGACGTGGGTTTACGAGTTTGACATGCAAACTAGTCAACAAGCTTCGGAATGGCGCCTTCCAACTGAACCAAAACCGAAAAAACCACGTCAAAGTCGATCAAAAGTCAAAGTCATGTTGACTGTTTTCTTTGACTATCGCGGGTGTTGTGCACTCAGAATTCTTGCCCGAAGGTCTAACGGTAAATAAAGAATATTATTTGAGCGTTATGCGGCGTTTAAGAGAACAAATTCGACGAAAAAGGCCAGAAATGTGGAAAGAAAATTCTTGGATTTTGCATCACGATAATGCGCCTTCGCACAAGGCCATCATTGTAAACGATTTTTTGTCCAAACACTCAACAAACACCATCGAGCAGCCACCATATTCACCAGATATGGCTCCAGCCGACTTCTTTCTTTTTCCCACACTCAAATTACCCCTTCGTGGCCAATGATGTATATAATACGTCATTGTTCGTGGCACCCATTTTCAATCGTTAGAAGACATAAAGGAGAATTCGCGGCGAGCACTGAACTCAATTCCGGAAACAGCGTTTAAAAAAAGTTTCGATTATTGGATTATTCGTTGGCGTAAGTGTATCGTTTCTGAAGGAGCATACTTTGAAGGTGATAAAATAAATTTAGATGAATAACAAACATTTTGTGTTTATTGACTTTTTCCCGGTACTTTCTTGACAGAGTAGTATAACGAAGTATGTGGATATACAGGTCTAGAAGGCTAAAAATTCACGAAGGACGAATGTCGCAGTACCCTATCTAAATTGAATCAAATGCAGTTATAGATGTAGGATCTATTAAGTGATAATATGTCCACAAGTACCTCAAGCCTGGCCTCTATCTTGATGGAGTCGTCGTCCATGTCGAGTATGTTGAGGTTGTTGTTGATGTTGTTGTAGTCCGGGTAGTTGGCCGGGGGCGGCGGCGCCACGCGGTAGGGCTCCGACTCGCACTCGCTGCCCGACCCCGCGTCTGACGTGCGTCTACACAAACAAACAAGTACGGTTGGAGTCAAATACAATTAGTTATTATTAATGTAATTAGGATGTTCCTCCTTCCTCATTCATAATACTATACCTGTGTAATTAATAAAAGTGTATGTCAAATCTTTATTAATAGCTGTGCAATTTCATTCTTGTCATTTTAGGCATCGGTCCAACTTAAATCTTAGTTTGAAAGTACAACAAGAGATGTCTTCTATTCAATTTCTCTAACCTACTATACGTCACTTTACCTAATCTCTCATATCCTTTTTATATAAGAACCTCCTGTATACAATAACAAAATAAATAAAAAGATAAATCTGTTCAGTTGTTCTCGAGATTAGCGCTTAGCAACATATTTAGTGACTTGACAACAACTAATATAGCACGTGAATAATTAATGTTTAAAACTATTATAAGAAAATATCACCTACATAATATCTTCAGGAGAAAATCCTTGTTTGGAGCAACTTTATTATAAAAAAATATTAGTAATTTATTTGCAAAAAAGCGCTTATGTCTGACGTCATACACCGCTACGAACATCGCATAGCGTTACGTGTTAAAAAACTCGTGTTGAGTTTGCATCGACGCAATTGTCATGAAGAAAAGTCAAAGTTGTTACCGTGCCAAGAATACGGCTGACAACTGCTCAACATACCTACTGAATAATTATAATCATTCGGACTTGGGACCAAAACGAATTTTACGATTTCACGCTTTAGACGTTCAAGTGTTTTAGCATTTGGTTTTCCTAGCCAACAGTGTTGATTTACTTTTTGAATTTACTATGTTTTATTTCTGAGGTACAAATCACAATTGTCTTGTGAATTGGTTACATTTAAAACAATCAGGGCCGGGTCAATAATCCGTGGATTATACAAAAACTTACTTGTTCAGTGCGCGAACCACGGCGCTATATATCTATACTAATCGGAATCCCAAAATTTTTTCACTGATTGATAGCTACAATGTTTCCGAGTGCTATAGACTATAAAACATCACGCTACAATCAAATGGAGGCAAGCAGCGAGTGAAACAGCGCGGGAGTAGCTAGTCGCACATAAGTACATTGCCCTGTTGTCACTTCAAGAACCTTGTAGACAAACTATTTAATAGCACCATGTTTTAAGTTTGGTTATGTTATAATTTTACTTTTGTAGTGAAACTAGAGGAAGATATTAGACTTATATATGTTAATATAACTATGTATGCAATTCAAAATAAACAGTTGTAGCTTTTGGCTACAGACTTCCGTGTTAAATATTCACCGATATTACGGAAACTTCAAAGGAAATAAAATACATCGCGTCGTAAACGTTTCCTAGTGTTATACGCAATAAATATAATTATCCATGCTTGCAAACTTGTTCCGATATTTATTTATGAAAAAATAAACATATTCACCATTTTAACATTATTACTTATTGTTTTTATTTAACTAAGACATAAAACATCCTACTAATATTAAAAATGTGAAAGTTTGTGAGAATGTTTGTATGTATGTTTGTTATTCTTTCACGCAAAAGCGGCTGGACCGATTTTGTTATTATCATCTGTCTGTATTAACATATAGGCTGCTTTTTACCAACATAGGAACCACGCGGGCGAATGCTAGTTAATCATTGGTGACCCGTATTTTTTATTTAAATAGCAAACCCTATATACCTACGGCGCAGGAAGGGAATAACATTCGTAAATAACCCTTATTGCTAGTCTGGTAAATTGAAATTTATTTCTAACTAGCTACTGTCGCGCGATTTCAATCGCTCTACATATCGCCTTGCTCGATAAATAGATTAACAAATACAAAAAGAATTGTTCAATCCGAACCAGCAGTTCCGGAGATTAGCGCGTTCAAACAAACAAACACTACAGCTTTATAATTTTAGGTTAGATGATAAGTAATAAGTGGCAATATAAGTTGAAACATTTCCATGCCACGTCGTATAAGAATGTCTACACTTAAGAGTACATTATCATACTTACTAACAATTGGCTGTTTGGCCTATGTAAATGAACAACATTTTCGCTTAGTCGTAACAGTATATCTATAAGTAGTAATATGTCACTTCTGACCTGTTGTAGTCGGGAGTGCGGGGCGCGGTGGGCGTGGCTCCCGAGCCGTCCTGCTCCCCTCCGAATACTTCGCCGTCCTCCGGGTACAGGGGGAACCTGGGTATACACATACGCAATATTATAATAAATAAACAATTCGATCATACATCTACTTTTTACTTGAGGCCCACGTAAGACCCCATTACACTGACTAGTCCTCTATCGGTCTTATTATGCATAAATGCCTGCTTTTCCGGTAGTGCATTTGGTCAACTCTGAAGCAACCAGTGCTTACATAGACCCCATCAAGAGGAATTATAAATGTTTGCCTTTTTGAGATGGAAATTCATCAAATGCCATACTAAAAATCACCCCATTTTTTTGGTGTCGGGTTGGAAAATCCTCATTGAGACCCACCGCCCTCGGGGAAGGGCGAAGTGTACTGTCAGACTCAGCCTACTGACTAAAAACCAACCCAGTGTTCCTCCGTTGTCGGACCCCAGTGTCGGAGGGGTGGGTATCGCCGAAGCATTCATCGCATACCCCCGACGGGTCGCATCACCGTAACGGATCCTTCTGTCGCCCCGAGCCGGCCTAATACCGGATGGATTATAAGTGTGTTGACATTCAGCACCTTATGCCATTTCTATTTTTTAAATGATCAGGACCTACCTATAATTATCTTCGGACAGTCTATCATCGTCGTCGGTGGCGATAAACTGCACGCAGAGCGCACAGTCTCCTTTCACACTCTGCAGCGCTTGCACCGCTTCTTTGTGACAAGCCTGAAATCATACCAACTAATAAATCAATGTCGAACAATATGACACTAGGCTTACTATAACCCATTTAATTTGGGAAAGGTACTACGACTTATGGTATATATTTGTCTTGTTATTGCTATTTTTAACAGTTTTCCAAAAAGGAGGATGGTTTTCAATTAGACCGTATATACGCGTTTTTTTATTTATTTTTTTATCTCCCTTACTTATAAACCGATTTTGATAGTTCTTTTTTTGTTGGAAAGGAGAGAGTCCCGGAATGGTTCCATGTTTTTAATGAAGGTCTGCAGTATACCTGATGATGGAGACCATTGACAGTCGAGGAAATTCTTCAACGATTTACAGCACTAAACACTGACTAACCCAGGATTACCATTACCATGATTTTCGGTCTCAAGTAGCCGTCATCTTCTCATTCGAAAACCATTATCCTTGTTTGTTCTGCCTATCACCATTTGAAATGGTGAAATAAGATATTAAAAAAAATCGACATCAAAAAGTAAACTAAAAAGCAAAAAAAACCGACTTCAAAAACAAAAAAGTGTCAAATAAGTAATTAAAATTGATATTTTAATAGCACTCTTACGTACGCGAAGCTAATACTTTTAATATTAATAATAAAACACTATCAATTCTATATGCTACCCATTCATAGGTTTGAAGTCGGTGCCAAGCCTAATACATAATATAATAAGCATGATTACATGAGTACCTACACTCGCCGGGCGCGTGTGAATTTATTTGTTAGGATTTAAGAAATGTAGTACCGATTTTCTAACTTGATGGCGTAAGCGTAGAATCAGAAGTGTATATGGTTGCGTTACCGGCGAAACTGTATATAGCTTAGAAAGATATTTGGATGAATTATGAAAGTTTTCTCGTACTTGGTTGTTAAAAGTAGTAGTAGATGGCTGCGTTGTTAGTTGTGGAAATTTCGTCTTTCAGTCTTAATTCTCATTTAGTTTTATTCTGTTTAGGGCTTGGCACCGACTTCAAATCTATGAATAGGTAGCACATAGAATTGATAGTGTTTTATTATTAATATTAAAAGTATTAGCTTCGCGTACGTAAGAGTGCTATTAAAATATCAATTTTAATTACTTATTTGACACTTTTTTGTTTTTGAAGTCGGTTTTTTTAAACGTAGTTTTTTTTATTTTTTACTTTTTAGTATCTGTTACAAGTTTTTCTGTAAACTACAGTAACATTTTAAATATAAATTAAAATATTGAATAGTATATACTTTTTAAGTAGCTTTGTGTACCTAGGCCAACGAAAGGAGCCGCTCGTTAAAAAAAAATAGATCTCAAGAAATGGGAAAGTTCTCATCATCACCATCATCATTATCAGCCATTTTAATGTTCCCACTACTGGAACACAGGCCATCTCTCTAGGAAAGTTCTTAACAATATAAATTAAGTCCAAACACGAGGTAGCTACTGTAAACCGTTGAGGAGTTCCCTAGACTGTCCTTCGTCTTCATCATCAGATCCCTGATGACAGTCACAATCCATCTAGATGTAAAGTTCTTATCAAAACGAATTAATTAAGCTCAAACACAAGGAAGCTGCTATGAATCGTTGAGGAGTTCTCTCGACTGTCTCTCGGTTCCATCCGGAATTCCCTCGTCGGTCAATGGTCTCCATCATCAGGTAAACTGCATACCTTCAGTTGTTATAATACATACAGGTACAAAGTTTTCATCAATATAAATGAATTAAGTTCAAATACGAAGTAGTTACTGTAAACCGTTCAGGAGTTCCTTGAGCTGTCCTTCGTTCTCATCATCAGACCCTTAATGACAGTTACAACCAAGCCTGCTGCAAAGTCAATACGAATCATTCAAGCCCAAACACAAGGCAACTACTTCAAATAGTCAAGGAGATCCCTCGACTGTCTTCCAGCTCCAACATCTAGTCGACTTCGACCTTCGTCAAGTTGTAGTGTTGATAAAGGCCTACTTAAACATCATACAAAAACACTACTCGCCCCTACAATTTTCGAAAGTTCCCCTCGGTTTCTCCAGGATTCCATCATCAGATCCTGACCTCATGACAATGGGACCAAATGGCAAGTATACCCTATCGAATAAAAAAAGAATTTTGCAAATCGGTCCAGGCGTCTTCGAGTAATCGGTGTACATACATAAAAAAAAAAAAAAAAAATACGCGTCGAATTGAGAACCTCCTCCTTTTTTGAAGTCGGTTAAAAACATTTTCTTTGTAGAAAGTAACACATGTTTTTAGTTTACTTTTTGAAGTCAGTGTTTTTGTTCAAAATAATTTTATAAGTTTTTCTAATGTTTTCTTTTTGTCAAATTCAGTTGAATGTGTTTTTTAGGACTAATTACTATTTTTTTATTTAACTTCTACAGTCAGACCCCAGTTGAAATCATTGCTGTGCATTAGCGCTGCATATACCCAGATGGACCCCTTGGTACACTTTATTCTTTTCTTGTATTTCCTTCATTAGTTGTTTATTATATATTTTAATAAAGTTACCAAGTTACCTGTGTGAGGTCCACGTCGTTGATGGCGAGTATGGCGTCCCCTACATACAGCTCTCCCGTCAGTGCGGCGGGTCCGCCAGCCTCTAACTCTGAGATTAGGATCGGCACGCCATGTTCTCGACCGCCCTGTAGTGATGACCAATATTCTATCAAATCTAGGTAATTTTAAAGGTTACTATTTAGACTGATCTGGCCACTTAGACACACTGATCTATGATGTACACAGAATTCTACTTTCCACGAGTAATATTCGAGAAATAAAGTAACTAATACATCTAACAATTATGCATGGGCTTACGCTTACGGGATGACAGTTTTTGATATATTTGTCCGCAAACATTGCTTGAAAATGCCGCAAATGTCGAAGCATTTTGTAAGTATTTAATTATATAAAAATGCTCCAAATGTCGCGGGTGCGACCGTTAGATCATCGCATAGGCTACGTGCGGATAAACACCAAAAAATCTATCCAATGGCAACCGATATCTTATCATCCAACGAGTGGACACCTAAAGGACGGTAAAGGCTATAATTTATTTAAGCAGTACACAATAATGTTAATACTGACGGTGACAGAGATGCCGAGGCCAAGATGCGGGGAGCGTCGCACGCGCACGGTCCGCGCGAGCGGGCGCGCGGCGTGTGTGGGTGGCGCGCCCCCCGCGCTCCCCGCGCCGCCCGCCGCCGCCGGCCGCCCGCAGGCGCGCGCCGCGCCCGCGCCCCGACACACGCGCACCAACGTCTTGTGACGCTGCACCAAGATCTCAGCCTCCACCTGCACATCAAACAAAAGAAGAATCTTTATCTATTTGTAAAAAGACTGTCTCTGTCAATGTAGCCCACTACGGCAATGAATGAAGCGTCGACGGGAAGAGTAACAAATCATCACCCACATTTCTCCAATAATGAGGTCCCATATAATAGGGGGTAAGATATATACCGAGTACAGTCCCAAACCCCGCGGTACTACTGAAAAGTTCTAGAAAAACGTTAAATCCTAATAATATTTTATACGATACGGAAATCGAACTCGAGCTTGATAATCAAACGAAAGTTACAAGTTGCACGATATGAATACAGTTAAATGATACAAATGCTTTTTTCCATAAGATTACAAGTTAATTACAAGAAGGAGGTATCAGAACGGCACGTTTTAAATTTTGAAATCCTATGGATACAATTTTAAGCCTCGTGCCTATAGTAAACTGATAATTGACAGAATAATATGTCTTCAAAATGCTCGAGACCTCTTTAGATAGTGGACTAGAAGCACTAACACTACTTTCTATTTAAAAAAGCGTGCTAAGCAAACATTCATTTCGATAGCATATGAAACATAAATACATACTTGGTTTCACTAATAGATCCTTGAGCTGGTCAATATTGTTAAAAAATAACGGCGCTGCTCGGTTCTCGACCAAGACAGGTAAGATCAAGAAAATATAAAGTTTGGTAAAAATAAAAAAGAAGAATTTATGGAATTTACACGCACAATACATTACATTACTTCGTTAGACAGTTTTTGTATCTTCTGTCTATTTCGTTTTTCGTAAAGCATTGGGGATGTACCTATGTACGTTCATATATGAAGCGAAAATAATATCTGACGTGTACACATCCATAGTTCCAATGTGTTAAAGTCAAAGTCAAAATCATTAATGGTGAATGGGTTGGCTCGATTAATTTAGTTGGCTCAGAAAATCGGTGTGAAGCCACGCTTACATTTTGTTTTGTCTTTGAATAAGTTTACCGGAGGCTCAGTCTTTTCCCCAATTTCTCAACCTTCAAATCCCTAAGAACCCCCAAGAAGGCAGTAATGCACCTGTAAGTCCTCTGGTCTCGTGGTGTCCATGGGCAGTACTAATTGCTTAACATCAGGTGTTTGGCAGTGTGACGAGACAGTATGTAGGTATGAGGAGAGGGACGGGATTACTTTTCACCAACTAAAGACATGCAAAATCTAATATCAAAATAGCGTGTTTTATTGAGCAGCTGTATGAGCATAAGTTAACTTAAGAAACTTGTTTAATGAACTCTAGTTAAAATGTGATTTTATTCGTTCCATAAAATGATCATTTCATAAAATTTATCGAAGTGAAAGTAACAGTAGTGTATTATTAAGGTAATCGTTTCATGATTATTATTTTCTGTAGGTGAAAATGAAGTTAGTTCAATTAACGAAATAATAATTGTATCTTGATGGAAATGCAATTTAGAGAAATATACTCTTACGACTGAACGCTTCTAGCTGGTATATAAGATAGCGTTTAGCTTTTGGAGGGGGCTTTCATGGGATAGAAATTTGTTTCATGCCAAAATATGATTTGTGTATTTGTACCAAATTATATGTTTCTGAGGAAAGAGTAACAAACATCCAGACATACTTACAAACTTTCTTATTTATAATATTAGTAGGATAGTTCACTTAGATAAATTTTCTACACTCTACAGTCTCTGTTGCCAACAAAATGGTTGATAGAAACGATTGCTGGCTAACATAATATGATATTAATATGATCGTGAACAGTGCCTTCGTAAGGGACGCGGTGAAAAATTAAGATATACATATAAACCTTTATTATACAACATGAATATAGTTTTTTTTGTGAGAGGAAAATCATCAAATGCCTTCTCCCTTACAGGGCTGGGAGTGTCAGACTCTTACTGACTAAAAACCCCCCTGTTCCTTCTCCTGCTCTGAGCCGAGGTCGCGGTTCCTTATTGCACTTACCCCGCAACCCCGGCTGAACATCAGCCCTATAGGGCCCCGTCTGTAGTGGTCTATTGGCTCTTTGAGGCGCGCGCGGAACGCTATGCGCCGTACGCTCGGGCCTGGTTCTGGTCGGGCGGCGAGCTGACCTTACTCGCCGATCGCAGACCCGCGCTTACGGTGGCCGGTGATCATCTCTCGAACATGAATATTGATGCCTTAACTTTACGCTATTTTTACACTAGTTACGTTACGTTGAGAACTAACCTTTCCAAAACTCTATACACTAGACCCGATATCTCCGAGGTTAATAAATCTAAGGAGCAGTTATAAAAGTTTTTATAGCTACTGTTAGTAGCAAGCAATGAAGGTTACGAGCTTTCTGATGGTAGGCTGTTACAGTAGGGCTGCATCTACAGTGTACACACATAGGATAAGGCCTATTTAGGTTATAACCATTTAGGTTTAGGTTAATGTCGAACTTCCGTGGTGCTTAGCGACTGCGCTTCAACCATTTACGCACCCTCTTTATCGTATCTCTGTATCGTTTAAGGCTTAAGTAATTCTATCTTTAAAATCACGGAGGAAATGGAAACTAAGTATTTCGTTTTCTTGTCCTCCAATAATTTGATCAAGACTATTTATATCCATAGGATGAACCCTGATTTCCGTGTTTTAATCTACTAAACGCTATAAACCGGTGCTGTGTGGTACTGACTACATAGTCGGTACCACACGGTGGCGGGTTAGTTTCATGTAAAAAAATATATACGCCAAAAGTTTCACGAGCAAATCTATTGCGCAGTATTAAAATTTTTATACCTGAGCCCAGAGCGAGTCTCGTAGTTCAGCGCGCATATCTCTGCCGAGTAGCTGCAACTGTTGTATCCTGCCAGCTAGCTCCTTGTCCAAGTACTTCGTGGCTAGTCTGAAATGTAAAACCATGGTGATGTTAGAAGATATTAATTTAAAGTAGAAAGTAGTAGCAGCAGGGCAGAATTCAGAAAATACGAACTTTTTTGGGCAAACTAAAACGACTATGTAGACAATCTTATAAGACGATCAGAGTTATAAAGTATACAACTTACAGGTTATTGTATTTAATTAACTTCAAACTTTTTTTTATAAACTCGTATAACACACGGCTAAGAAAATGCCTTACCTAGCTCCGAACAGTTCGGAATGTAACGCCAGTACAGTTTCCCTTAGCGCCGCATTCTCCCGTGCTAGTTGTGCAGCCTCGGACCGGGCTCGCGCCGCGTCCGTCACGTTACCTGCGGCGTCGCCGCTTTCCTGGCATCCACCTGAACAATCAGATACTGTTTTGAACTTCATCAACTTCAATCAAAATCAACAAACGCAGGAATCCACGGGTCAAGATATAATAGTTTAGTCAACCTCACGAACGAGAATGGATAAGAGTGTTATAAATATCCATCACTACCGTCCACTGTCCACTAAATAGAGACCATCGTAAAGCAAGATACAAAAAAATAAGCTCCCAGTAAAAAGTTATGATTGTTTGAAAAAAATTCATTCGGTCTTTTAACCAAAGATACTTCAGCGAGAAACTAACATGGGACACCAAAATGTCTAATGAAAAATAAATATGGAAATACTATGTTTTAATACTTGAGTTGAATAAAGCTTGAACTGAAATAATTAAGCACAAGCACGATTTGGTCATATCCCTCGCCTAGGGTGTAGTAGAGTCAGCAGAATCATCTTTAATTGCAACTAAACAATTATGGTATAGTGTCGATCGATACATGACTTTTATTGAAAGAGTTTTAATTATTCTTAGAAAACGATAGGAATTCTACTGTATACAGATATACCATACACTGACATTCAGTCTAATCGAAATAACTGGTCACATAACAATACCTAATTGGACAAAGGACATCATTAGGACAAATCTCACCTGCTGAAGCGGCTCTGGCTTGCACCAATTCGGCCCTCATGTCGACGAGTTCAGCCTGCAAACAGAAAAAAAACCTTAATCCTTAGCGATTAAATCTCTCGAACAAATGGACGGCATCATATATCAACAATAAGTAGTGTCGAATGTCATGGAAGTGATTCAGCACAATAGAATTTAATCTCGAGCCGAAATCAATGGCGGCGTAAATCCGAATTAGAGGAGCGACGCATCGGTTGTGTCGTTGGTCGTTGAGCACTCGACAACGACACGGGCACATAAATCGTTTGACTTCTGCACCCTCGTGCTGCTAACTCCCGAGGGACAAGTAGCGCGTGTCGCGCCCACAGCCTATGAGCCTACCCTCATCCACATTTTACATGTGTCATCTCCCTGCCAATTCCGTGATGATTTATTTTATTACTTCTGTTGAACTATTTAAGAATATAGGTCGTTGTGCAATTTATGATCTTACTCATATTTCAAAGAATGCTTCTCAATTTCGTAATAATTATATTGATCATGGTGCTCAATCTAAGTCTCGTAGGAACTTGCAAAGGTGTCGATCAAATTAATATGGTAGCCGGTAAGCGAGATATGTTAAGTAGTTAGCGATAAAATAAAAACTAAACGTGGGATTATAAATAGTACTTGATTATACCTGGGCCGTTTAACAAGGCCTTACAAGGAAATATCTGTTCAACTACATCATTTTATGCAAATGCTCTATTCAATTGCATCTACACAAATAATTCAAGTTAATTTTAGAGGTAAATTTAATCGAGGAATGCAGTAAACAACTTGGAACTATATTTTCTCACTGTTTTCTTATTGCCTACACGCCTGGTTTTATAACTTAACTACTACCCGAACCCTGTTATGTATTAATTAATATAGTCATATTCCCCCGGAAACGTATGTACCTATAGTTACTATTTCAGTACTGAGTAATGTAGATCTCGAGAGGACGTTACGACTGGACGGCGCGTAATATAAGTGCTTGGCCATAAAGAAATGACTTTTAAATAATATATGAAAGGAAATATCTGAACGTATATAGTATACACAGAGGAATTACTCACGTAGACGCCTATTACATCGTGAAGAAGATTAAATTAAGGAGTAATGCAATAAATGCTACAATTGCAGTATTAAGTTAAATATAAATCCTAACAAAATGGCGAGTAGTAAGTGATGCAAGTGTTGCCTCATCTTTATGAATCTGTATCAAAATTCCAACTTTACAAAAATAACAAAGTCACTAACCATTATGAAACTTTCATTTTCAATTTAGAAACATTATGGGAGATGTTTTACAAAAGATAATAACGCAATACTTTTATTGAACCTCCAATAAAAACAACTTATGAATATTATGATTTTGGCCCTCAATAAATACTGTTAATTCAAAAGTTAATGATGGTGCAGCTAATTTGGACGGTATGGTTAATTTGTATAACGTCAATTGTAAAGCCTGAACCTTGATTTATTATCAAGTCATTACCTAAAGGGTACTATTACACGAACGGGAACCGAAGCCTGTTATATAATAATAGCAATATAGCATTGGCAGTCATTAACTGAAGATAGATAATCAACAACGGGATTTTAGTTTTATGATGGATAATGCAATTACTCACTAATATAGGGCTTTAATGAATTAAATAACAAACTGTTAATAGAAACATTTTGTTTTTTTTTTTATCTTATACGAGTAAAATTTTTATTTTGTGGAAGAGCCATGCTTCGTCACGAATTGGCTGGCTTAACCGGAGTGATACTATGGTCTAACAAAAACTCTGCATTAAATAACCACAGCGTTGTATTTCGCTGTGTGAGTGAGGTTACCGAGAGACAGGATAGGGATCTCTGAATCTTCAAAACCCTAATCCCCAAAAGGCCGGCAACGCATTCGTTATTACTCCGGCGTTGCAAGTGTACCATCACCTGGTAATTCCGACGCTCGTTTGCCGACCGATAACAAAAAAATACGAATTCTGAATTTGAAATATTTTGATGAAGTAATTTTTTTTACCCAAGCGGCACAAAAGTTTCTTCTTTACTATTACAATGGTCGAAAACGAGGTGCTTGAAATTATAGGAACAATGTATCTACAAAGTACTAACATAATCTATGCTACAAATATTCGATATTTATTGTAATAATAATAATAATAATCACCATTGTTTAGCCTTAAGCTATTACGACTATTAGTTTATCAGAACAATAAATCTGTGACATAGCTATCGATAGATGATGTCAGCTGTCGATACGACAGTTTACTTAGACGTAGTGAAACCGGTACAGCAAACAATTTCGTGTACAATAATATTGTTCCAGGAACAATATTGAATGTTTCCTATATACACGGACTTAATTACAACTATAAACTCTAGGCTTAACCTTTACAAAACAATTATTTCGTAACACGTTTGTCACAACGCGAACGTTTCTTAGTACGGGACTTTGTATTCGCACTCGCGTTTACGTGTCCTATCGTTTGTTTCTCGCGGAGACTTTCAGCGCCACACTCTTTACAATTATCCTTGGCACAGAAAGATATTGTTACATAAGTTATTGTCTATTATATAAATATGTAAAAACCATAATAATATATTTGGATGGCGATATTTGAATGCACAACAGCATCAAGCGGGCAGGCTTCTATTCTCAAGATATTTAACCAGCATTGTTTGGGATGAGCCTGACTCGTATTATACTCGTACACCAATAAACACGACCTACGCTGATTTCAAGATCATCACCGCCTGAACTGAGCAGTGGGCGTTTGTTGTTGTTGCTGTGATTGTGAATATTATAACAACGATGAGAATTCTAACATCTTTAACACCACACAATATTAGACACAACATAAAAAGCATTATAATAAATGAACAGTTAACTTGTATAGAGAGACAATGAATACGATTCATTAGGGCCGCAATAAAACGCGAGTATCTTAGAACGGATGGCCCTAGGCAATTTAAATATCAAGTTCGACGACAACGTGCCCGACTACTTTCATCTCTTCCCTAATTAAGTTGCACGTTATTGCGATATGTCTGGGCCACGGCAATAAAGCGGCTTCAGCGGTCAAAGTTGCGAGCGGCAAGCTGCATAGTGTGGTATGGTACAATTTAAGTAAAGCGATTCACGCTGTGTTTGACTAGACTCTCTGCTTTACGCTGTGTGGGCGCCGATCTAAGATAACGACTAACAAACGGAAGATTGATTCACCGCTGTTTGATATCAATGCACGCATCTCAGATACACGAAAGATTTGATCACAGTGCGCACGCGCCGCGCCGGCTGCACTGGGCTGGCTAGTCAAACCACACATAGATCTGACGATTCATGCTCAGCAACAACAATAAATCTCCCAATCTGTGTGTCGACACATTTACACGTCTTCCGAGATGAAATCCGAGTCTCATGAATAACAGCACATGCCATCGCATTTTACTAGTAAGAATTCACATGAAAGCTCGTGCGTCTTGTATGACATGTTTAAGGGACCACACCAGTTGATATATAATTGAATCAACGTCGCAATGCACTCGTGTTTTGCCCTAGATCATATTCATACCATGGCCAAATAGTTAAATACAATTATATAAATTGTTTGTCTAGGTTTATATTTCGGTCTTGGTTTATATTTGGCTACTTTTACAACTGCATGTATTGTGTAATCCTGTTGAAAACTGATACGGATTCCAGAAAAACTCGCATCATATCAAGATCTGGTTACAAATAATTTCCTTAACTTTACAAAATTAAGCCGCATCCACATATCTAATTGTTTCTTGCACCTAAAACCGCTTAACTGAAAGCGCACTGACATGGAAATAAATTTGAAACATAGGCTTAAGCTCGTTTAAACCTTACTATAGCGCTTTCCTGCATATCTACATGAGGTCATTGTTTCGTCTGTCCTGAGCGCCCTACATGCATTGTTTATGCCTCTGACAAATACTTGCACCGTGTGCAACTCTTCATTTACATGCGTCCCTGTCGTGCTTGCAGTCACATCACGCCGGGGACACAACTGTCCTCCAACTTTTCACTCATTGCCAGTCATTATGGAAATTATTTCACATTCACAACGGTTCGATTGTAAAATAACCTCGGAACTGATAAACACCGCTTTTCGGTAAGAGTGCACTCATGTTCTTGTCGATGTAATATTTTCATGTGGGTTAGCAAATGAAATGCATAGTTCACAGCGAACAAGATCACTAGATAGCGGTATGCACGCCTACGTTGTAATGATACTTGACGCTTGAGCAACTGATCTCCAAACTTAGGTACATTAGAATCCACATCCGTAATGCAGCAATGGGTGCATTAGCATAAAGTTTATTTTGATCGCCTGCACCAATAGATTAGAAGGATTTATGAATGATACCATACAAGACATTACAAGATCAACCAGATGTACCAGCACTCGAACAATGGTGAGAGTGCGAGGTGCAAAGGTGATGGATCGCCACCCAGGAAATGGATGTTATCGAGCTAGCAGCATGAGTAGTGGATGGGAGCGCGCCGGGGAGCTCGTTTCAACCATTTGTCCTATCTACACCAAAGACTTATTGCCGCTTTTTACTTCGACTTATTGACAGTATCCACTACTCAACGGCAAACGTAGAAAAAAGTTTAATATGAAGTTTACGTGTACCAAAGTTAAAAGTAGAAAAAGTGGAACTCATTAGCGAATAAATATGTAAACAAGGTTGGGAAACGTCCAATACTTAAATCATAGTAGTAGTAGTAATGTTTAGTTGAGACACGCAGAGTCACAAAACATCGTTCATGTAATGACAATGGAGACAGTGTAGTAACAGTTTGTAGCTCTTAACAAATGATCCTCGGCGTAATCACAGTGACAAGTGTTGGCCTCGGCTGTTGGAGGCTGTCCAAACCATTTTATCTTGTTTCACATCATAGTTCTAAGGTGTAGATAATCATTGAAGTAGGTTAAACAGGTAAGTTCACGATTGTTTATACTATTTTTACTGTTACCGTTTACTAACAATCCGTACAGTTTTACTTATTAAAAA